GAACGTGGCAGGGGCATTACTGAGCCCTTGTGGCATTACTAGCCATTCCCAGAGCATGCCGCTAGGCGTGCTAACTGCGGTATAGGGTATATCCTGTTCCGCATTAGGATTTGATAGAAGCCATCCATCAAATCCATGGACGAAAAGATGGTACTCTTTGACATACCATCAATGATTACGTCCTTCCTCGGTATCGGCGTCTGAGCCGGTACCGTTGCAGCGTTCAATTTGTTAAACGCGTGCACTATCCGCCACCCTCCTGTTGCTTTTCGCACACAGAAGGTCGGAGAGCTATGTGGGGAAGTTGATTCCCTCACATGGCCCGCTGCTAAACGATCGGCAAAGAACTTGTCGATCGCAAGTACTTGTTCACGAGGCAGTGGTCACTGCTTCATGACACAGTACTTCGAGCCTGGTTTAAGCTCGACTTCGTGTCGAATACCTTTATCCTTCGGTAATTCGCACGGAACAGTTTCAGGGAATACATCCTTGAATTCAACCAAATCTTCATAGAGAGGATTTTCCTTGAGCGATTCCCATGATTGGGACTCATATCGCTCAATTCGTGTCTTTTCATCTAGGACACTCTCGTCCATAGATGAACTACTGAGAACTCTCTCGTTCTCAGTAAACACTGTTGCTGACCTTATGTCGGTTACATACTCGTCGTCAGCGACGAGTATGCAGATCTGCTTGACTTTGCCACTACGCAGATCACGCAAGAACCTTTTATGTTCGAGCGTTGGCAACTGAGTGATCTCCGAAGTTAACTTCGGAGGCGCAATCAGATCAAGTGTATAAGCGCCTACACATGATCCGTTATTGACTATGACATTCAATGTCTCTGTCATTTCCTGGGGACTTATTCCCTCAGGCTTCGAAGGACTTATTCCTTCGTCTTCCCGGGGACTTATTCCCGCGGGTTTCGGGGAACTTATTTCCGCCGTATTTGTAATCTTGGGACTTATTCCCTTTACTTCCTCTAGCTGGGGTTGCGCAACCACAGCGAGATCCTCTACGAAAGACTCTCCAGTCGATCTAGGATTATCGTTTCGCTTAACCTGAGCGATCGATTGTTTCTCTTCTAGATGTTCCCCTCTAGGGATACATCTTTGTCCCAGTCCACCCGACTTATTCGAGTGGTGGACCTTCGGCGCAGCCTGTGTTTCCTCACAGCCGCCGGAACTTGGCTCCGAAGTGTAACCGTTTGGTACACTAAGGTTTTGTGCAGTCGTACTAACGACCGTACCACAAGTGAGGCCATCGCACTCACTCGTAGTACATCCACACGCTTGTGGACGCTCCAAAACGTTCATCAGATGGCCATCTGATGAACAAGCGGCAGGCATCGTTACTGTCCGATGTTGCCAGTTTACCCGTGGTTCGTACCTTCTGAGCCACGGTATTCCAAGGATGACATCAAATTTGTCATCCAAATCCAATACGATAAAGTCATCGTCATATTGGGTATCTTCTAGCGTATAGTGAATCTTCACTATACGCTTCATGACGGTTACGGATGCGCCTGTCGCAAGACGTACCGTCATCCTCATAGAAGGTGTGTCACACTCAACAAACTTAAAGTGAACATCTTCTAGCGATTGGCGTCGCACAAAATTGTTGGACGCCCCACAATCGACTAGAGCTCGAAGGGACAACTTATTCGTCACTTCGAGTTTCAAGGTAATGAGTGAATCCTCATTACCTAGAGCAGCAACGCACAACGTTTGTGTGTTGGGAGCAACTTTCATCAAGAGGCCTACAAATTCTCTTGACGTTGCTGGACCAGTAGGGTGCTCCGCACCTACTGATCCTGTCCATTTTTGACGGTCCATCCCGTTGTTGCGTTTTTGCACCAACGGCGGACCCGTGTCCCTGCCTCTTTCTCATGGGTGGACGGTAACTACGCCCAGTGTTGCGAGACACTGGACGAGGGGCACTACACTCGTAAGCGTAGTGTCCTGTCTTTTGACATCTGTTGCATCTCTGCAACTTCTTGTAGCCTGTAGAGCGAGCCTTCTCGCTCTCTACATAACAGAGTTCCATCGGCTCTGGACCTCCGTTGTCATATCGTCTCGGTTGACGATATGATGTCGAGCTGGCGCGAGCCTGTCTCAGACTGAAGTCTTCCTGCTCCGCAATGGAAATGGCTTGTTCTAGTGAATCTAGTTCAAGCCGGAACAGGTGAGTCTTGACGGGACCATCCGCAAGACCCTGCATGAACACCGAAACCAACGTGTGTTCATCCACTGGATTGGAACTTATACAACTCGTAAGATGTCGTATGTGTTGAGCGTAAGCGTGCACATCACGCTTACCCTGCTTGAGCTTCAAGAGTTCGGTTCGAGCCCTGAACTCAGCTCTAGGCGGTTCAAACGTTTGTCTGAGCCGCGACTTGAAGACTTCCAACGACCCAAACGCATATGGGTCGTGCAGCTTGAGCCCCAGTGCCCAAGTCTTGGCACGTCCTGCCAGATTTGATTGGGCAAATGCAACTTGCATATCCCCGTCGTCGATGCGACGCGCCCTTATGGCGTCATCCACCTCGACGAACCATCTCAAGAGGGAGTCTTCTTCGACCCCTCTATACTTTGAGATGTCAATCTTCAAAGTCTCGGGTCGACGCGAGTGCATCGACCCGCCAGCAGCAGCTTGCTGCTGTCTCAACAGTTCAAACTGTTGAGCACCTTGTTCTCTCAACAACTCTGCTTGTTGAGAACCTTGTTGGTGAAGCAAGGCTACTTTCTCGCGTTCTGCGTCAAGTTCATTTTGAATGAACTTGGCGATAGTAGCATGTTGGGCATCTCTATTGAGAGCCTCTAGCATGACGCTAACAGCATGGATGCCCATGGTCGAACCCATTCGTTCAACCGCATCCCATTCGACATCGCTCAAATGGGAGTAGCCGTCACGCGTAGCGTGAAAGCTTTGGTCATCTTCATCATCCAACATATTCATGTTGGATGTGAACGCGGTCCTTGGACGGACTACGAAGTGCTACCAGGTGTAACGGGGCACCCTGAAGCTTGTACTGGTGACAGTACAAGCTACTTATTCTGATAACAGAATAAGGCGGTGCCTCGTAACTTCACGTACACTCGTACGTGCAGAGGAAGACGGTAAGAAGAAGCGAGTACTTGGTTAAAGTAAAAAGTAGAACTGTATTTATAATAGTTAATGTCTGCAATAAATCCCTATTTATCTTCATCTAACTATGTCTAAATACAAATGTGCAAATCAGTTATCTGCTCACCACTCATTGCGTGCGTCTGTCGTGGCGCGTCTTCGTTGGTTGATATAATGGCCTATATCAACCAATTAGGAACTACTTGGAAGTGCTACAGAATATTTGTCCTTATGACAATATTCTGAGAATATAACTCTTATAGTTATATTCTATTAACAATTTCTTATAAATTGTTATGTAACGATTCACCCCGTTACACTCGATGCACGAGTAAGGCGCCGAAGAATTCATCGACAGGGATCGTTGACGGTGCGCGTGCAGTCGAAAAGGGTTTGTGCAAGGGTGGTGACGCGAGATGGTCTGAATGCGCGAGTGCTATCGAAGGAAGAGTCAAGTCAAGTGGTGACAAGTGTATTTGTGGTCAAGAAGAAGTGGAAACTACATGCAAGGCGAACGACGACTACGAGATGTCAAGATGTGACATGGTGCTGGACGATGGGGGAGCCGGAATACCTGGAACGCTCGGTATCATCGAGGTTGGCTGGAGCGCAGGGGAAAGACTCAATCAAGATTCCCATGGTGCACGGATGCAGCAGTGAGGATTACAGGCGGGTCGATACCAAAGTGGTCTGCATCTCATGTCTTCGAGGGGGAGTGTTTTAAGTGCTTGATGCACTGGATTCGACTCCAGAGATTCGACCCATGATAGGGTATGTCTAGAATGTTCTTTAGGGTTCTATGCATTATTATAGGTCGTACGGCAGCTAGACGTATGTATGGATAGTTCTCACTTGTAGATTGACAAACCACTGATGAGGCCCCCGGCGGGGGGCCGAAACGCGTCTGGTGCGCGGTAATATACAAGTTATTTACTTTACTTAGCTCCTACTTTTTACAGCATCCTTATCGTGAATCAGATTAAATTATGGAGGCTGAGACCGTGTATTGCAGCTACTTACCACGAGCAAGATGTCTGGTAGGTGTATGGTGACCACCTCGTGCCATCTACCATGACACAGTCTCACTGCTCCTAGCTTTCTCATTCTGCTGGCCCAAGACGTCCGGCATCACGGCGGGGCACTCCCAAAAGGTCCCGTGGACCATCCGTTGGTCAAGTCCAGGTTTAAATTCTTGTGTGCACTCTACCGGATGGCGGGGCTGCTCTCGCGCTCGGAGTAATTGATTCAGTAGACAAAGGACGCTTGACTAGGAGTCCTGTTACCACTGCAGTAGTCCAACTATCCATCTTGGCTTAATCCCTGGCCATCACCTCGTCGTCGACTTCTTGCTCTTCAGGTCGGCTCGGGCTCACAACGTGCTCAAATGTGCCCAGACGCACCACTGAACGAAGGGCAGCTTCCTCGGTGCTACTGTACATAAACAACCGGTACTGGATCTCATCGGTGGGGTCGTCACGGTCTTGGAATAGTTCTCTTCGTGGGACCGGGCTCGTGCTCAGCGAACGTGTCAGCGAGTTGTAGGCAGACCGTGAATAGTAGGACCTTCTTCTTTTGCAGGATACTTCGATCCATCGTCGACGTGCCCTGCACTAGGATATCCTGCGAGCCGCTTCTCTCTCGAGTCACACGCTGCGTTGCCTCCCGTAGCGCACGCAGCGAGGATAAAACCCTGCCCCACTTATACCTTGGTCCCACTATTGGGGACCTCCCGCCCAAGGAAAAGGGGCGAGTTATCTGGCTCCCCGGAGGGTCTCGTCTCTGTCTGTTGTTGCAGCCGGCTGCCGATCGGGAAGGGAATCAGATTAGATTACAGCCACTACAAATCGTGTGGGTTGGCAAAAGTGGTGCCTTCAATGTCTCATATCAGGCTGCCGTACCATATCGCTGCACATCCGGTGCAGCTTGCTCAGAACTCGCTTTGCGCTCTTTACGCCAAGTGCTTTGCCCACTCCCTCCTTGCCTGCCGCTGCAGCATGAAAATTGTCTATCTCCGCGCGGGCATTGTCAGTAGTTTGCTTGTTCATTATGCCGATCGCGCCTCGGGTTTTGGCAAAGCAGGGGTCACAACGCTTGGTTCTAACATCGACCCTCCTACTGTGAAGAAGGAATTGCGTCGCGACGATGCCGATGTAAACGAGGAAGAAGAGCGAAGCGTACCGATCGATCGGCCGAGTATCTTGGCTGAAGAACTGGAGACCATCACCCACTCTGTTCATTTGCCGCCTGAAGGACTGCACACCAATCCTTCTTACCAACCGGGAGCGTGGATCGAAAAGGTTGAAAAGCTGAGGGAACGGCTTTCCGAATATCCATCAGTTCCCAGTGCTAATGTTCACGCGGATGCTGCCGAGAAAAGACGAACTGAGCTAGCAGAGTGGTTGGTGAGAACAGTAGACGCTAAATCTTTGTCGAACTTGACTGGTAAGACGCTGGACGTGTTCCTGCGTAATTACCTCGAGCAATTTGTTGGCGAGGCCAATGCAGCATTCGTGGTCTTCCTGGCAAAGCGCTCGCCGGAAACGCGCGCGACTGCAAATTTGATCCAAGATGCGCAATTCGATAGGTATGCGCGCATGAGAGTGCCACCTGAAGAATTGGAAAAGATGTGGCGTAAGGAAGCGCACCCCGATTCCAGCGCCCCCGATTACGTTGACGAAATGATAAGCGAATACAAGCAGTACTGCCGCGATCGGGAGATATGGATGCGGTCTGCTCAAAAGCTTTCTGGCAAGTAGTCCGGCTGGTGCAAACTTCCTGAGCCAGCCTCAGTGACGTTGCTCTGATGCAGGCTCGGGTAGAGCTTTACAAATTGCAGTCGGCGCAACGTCATCGATAAACACGAATGGTGCAGTTTCTCTTCAATTTGGTCTTTCTCACATGGTGCTCTGTTCTCTTGTTGATACTCTCTAACTTTCTGGATGTTGGTGTTTATGTATGGAAGATGAGTTACGTCAAGTGTGCACCTTGTATTTTGACGTCGGTATAGCTGTGTGCCATCACAATAATCGTCACAAGCTCTAAAGACCGACTAGTACACAGTGTCGGCTCCCGCGCTTCAGAACTTGGTCATTGTGATCGCGCGACGTTGATGTGAAGAATGCCTACCGAAGTCAACACAACACACAGGTTATCGCCGACTGCGCCGTCTTTGTGGGCATGTTTGCCGGTTATTTTTGTGCTCTTTCTGGTGCAATAAAGATCTCTTTGAGTAACTTGTAACGAATGTACGAGTCGATCAAATGTAGAGCGTACGCTTCTATTCATCCATACTACCCCAAACCTCTGCACGAGTGCATGATGCCAGCAAGGAGATCGACCTGCCGATCAGATTAAGGATTTCGATGAAGTTCCTGCCTCAATGAGTGTGAGTATACAAAAGTGGTAGCAAGATAAAAAAGTTAGGGATGATCCTAAATATCCAGTCTCGGCACCGGTCTTGGCCAAAATATCCAGTTAAAGTCCTGACGCCTAAACCATTTTCCTGCACATGAGACCATGAGACCGCTTTTCACTTTGGCATATCGTTTCAGGTTCTCAGAACGGAATCAGACGAGTTGTCAAGTTGGAACGATGAAGGGTCAGACCGTGGTGGGCACGCGACTCCATTGGCACAGCCACTCGCAGCACGAGCGCATCGACGTCGTCAAGGTGCTGAACCAAGTGCTTGCATTCTGCACTCGGGCAGCCACGTACGCCGATGGCGGGATCCTGCTCGCTGTCGGTCTTCCCGTCGCCATGGCCGGATCCATCACAGCCACTCGATTAGCGGAGGGAGACGCGTCAACACCAACTGACGACTTCATTGCGTCAGTGCGCGAGTTCTTTGCCCAACTGCAGAGTGCGACGAGTGCACGGGCGTTTCTCGGTCACATCAAGGTCATCCCCATGTTGCATTGGGGGAACTTCGTGCCGGCCCTCAATGCGTTGATTGGGACTGCGGCCGAGCAGTTTCCAAATGCCGATACCTTGCTCTTGCAGTCGCTGGAAATTGACGTGGAAGCGGCTAGCGTGGAGTCGCTACGATTGCACTTTGATCTCTCTCGCGACCTCGTGGTGGGCGCGGCCATGCCTGGCCACGACTTCCAGCCGGACCCTGACGGCCAGCCGATTGAACTGAGCGGGTTGACATCGCCGTGGAACACACTCGCGTTATGGAATCTCGAGCAACTGACAAAGGTGGGATTTGTTCTGATGGGAGACGCATTGCGTCTCGAGGTCGACGGGATCGGCTCGGTCGCAGGCATTGAAGAAGTGGCTACTATTGCCGTTTACCAGCAGCTTTACGCGAACGCTACGTCCCCTACGACGGCCAAGTTGGTGCGTGTGCCGAACATTGCGTGGCAAGTGGACACGATGAAGGACCCCCAGCGTTCTGCTTGGCATGCGAAGAAGATGGCGAGCAAGCAACAACGCGCAGCAGCCCAGATTGCCCACTTCGGGGGCGTGTCCCCTGGTCGTGTGTTTCACTTGGAAGCCTGAAGACGAGAGATGGAAAAGTGGACTTCACCACTGCAGCGTCTTCTCACAATAGAGCAAACAAACCGGACTACTGACAGCGTGGAGATCGTTCCGGTAATGTACTGACAAAAGGTCATGCCAGTGTGGAGCATCCCAGCGTTTTGCGGCGACGCGTCGATCTCGATCGGAGTTTGAGCTGAAGAGTGCGGCAATCGTCTGTTGGTCGTGGCGTCACTTTGAGTTGCAGCATGACCTATCGCCGGACACAAAATTATGGTCCAGTCCGATGCATTTATCTACGACAATCACAGCTGAATCTATTGGCAATACATTAGCTCTTCCACCAGCGAAGTTATGCTCGTGTCGAGATATGATCCGGTAGCTAATATTGGCATATGCCTGCAAATCACATGGCTCGAGGTTCTGCGTGAGCACCAATGTGGTCATTGGTATTCAGCCCGGACTTGGTTTTACTCGTAAAAACGCTAATACAGGGACTCGCCATCAACATGACACTCTTTCGGCGATCGCCCATCGCTGCGCGCCTTTTGTGTTTTAACCCAATTAAAACAAATCTGCGACACTGCGACCTCGCGCTATTGCGCTATTGACCGCCGCGTAAACCCCACGACGCTATAAGACGGCGAATGAATCAAGCGCGTGCGGTCTTTCTGTGCAACGAAGCGACGCGGCGATGGCTTGTTAAAGACGAGTTAATGTTCCTTTTGTTGCACTACAAGACAGTGACCGTCCCGCTGCTCCGCTCGGTGCAGTTTCGACCACCAAGTACGTCTTCCAGTCGCATGGTTGAATAAAGGAGCTTTTCGACGATTTGAACCTTATCTGAGTGATAGATTCGCCCTAACTTATGGTACCCTATTGATTCGTGTTCAGGTGGCACTTTGTTGTTCTACAATACACTGGATGTATCGGAATACAAGAAAGATGGCTGGCACTGGCAGAAGCGCAAAGACAAGAGTGGACGGGTGCGGTGGCGATTCTTGTGTGGTTATGGCGTGCTATTTGGTTGCGTTAGTACAAAGTGATTTGAATACCAGGTTGTGCTGATCTCCTGCTTATGTATGACGTGCAGGTTCGTGAGGACCGAGCAAAGCTAGTGATTAACCGAGAGGTCATTGTCCTGGGAACATATGTGCATTCCGCCGAGATTTCTGTAAGTTGATTCTTTGTAGTACAAAATAGAGGTTTGTGCGTGTGAATTTATCCAGGGTACTGGTGTGCTGTTTACGATGAGCTGCTTGCAGACGTTTCATCGAAGAATCTATTACATGAGGGACTCTATGAAGAACATTGTGCTTGTTCACTACTTAGACGAGATGAACAAGGGATGCGTGGGATGTCCAGTGTCGACACATGTAACCAAGACGCGGAACGAAATAAATCGGTCGTTATCCGTTTCTGCAGTATCAATGCCACCATCTCAGCGGCAGTATTCACAAAAACTTGTGTCGTCCGACAAAACAGAAGGGTCTATCATGAATGGTTCGCAGACGGTGTCTATATGCGTCCGGTGTTTTTGTGGTTATTTGACCATCGGCCTTACGTTGTAACTTCTTGTCTAGGCTGCCTTGGTGTGGACCTAGGGTCCCGAACGACGATATGGCGGACTGCGTCGATGGACTCTTCTGATGCGATTTCTCCATCGCTGAAGGGGGACAGCATGGACGGAACCAACACAGGACTTTGTGCAGACGAACAAACAAATGACCCGAATAGCCTCATTGCTTTAGGAGAGCGCAACTCTGGCTCGAAAGGCCGGCGCACCTTCAGGCTGGCTGAAATTTCTGATTTCTCACCCGACTGGGACTTCGAAGATGGTGGGGCCAAGGTCTTAATCTGCCTTGCAGCTAGTCTTCCAAAGAGTGTGGCACACGATACCATGAATTTGTTTGTGCAGTTTGGTACCAAACGAACTCGCGCAGAAATAGTCTCGGATACAGTCTTACGTTGCATCGGTACGTATCTGTGCTTATCTCGTTCCCTTGTAATTGGCATTCACGTATGATACAACTTGTTGACGACGTTGCTGCGCTTCATTTTGATGCAGTTCCTAGTTGCACAAATCCTGGTAGTGTTCACATGTACGTGTGTCACTGGCGTGAAGCACTGCAACAGGAAGCTTTCCAACTGTCGCAGCAAAAAAAGTTCACCTACCGAAGTTACCGCTGGGCGTCCCCATCACTGGTGGACCAAGTAGCTAAAGATGAACAGGCTATTGACCTTTCCGAAGCGTCAGTTTCTCGTGCTGTACACAGCGCCTCCGGCATGGGCAAGCGAAGCCGAACTCGTGCTGTTCATTCCTCTGCCGGTGATGAATGCGTACGGCCGCTGAACAATGTTTTAGGATCGAATCGATCATTGTCGACATATGTCGAGTCGGATTGTAAGTTTTTATGCCACTGTTTGCTCAGTTACCACTTGCCTCAACAGCTTATGCTTTGACTGCTCGGTATGATGTGTGACAAGTGGACGAACGACAGTGCAAGATCCGAGTTGTCGAACGATTGTCCGAGTTCCACCAAGTGATACAGACCAAACCAGTGGAGTCTGCAGTCGGGACTATCGATTCTGGTGTCCCAGACAGATATAGCGGTGAGGAAGGCATATTTGCAGATGCGAGAGGTGGATCAACTCTACGGAGTGAACAACCTTCTGGAAGGGCGTGTTTATCGTCCTGTCGAGAACAGATCTCGAGTGAGCAGGTTCCTCAGTCAAGCTTACGTGTTGGACCGCCAGTCTCGTCAACTTCTTTTGGCGCAACATCGACTTCATTGGACGACTGTGCAATCGAGGCCATGAGCGACAATGACTTGGAGCAGCTTTCCGAGAAACTACTGGAGCGTGTCGTGCGTCAGCTTGTAACAGTTGCACATACGAGCGAAGAGCTGCTGGAAGAGCTCAACTCACTTGATGAAGCTGGCTTGAGCTTGCTGCACTATGTGAGTTTCTACAATTACTCTCAATTGGTGCTTCTTCTGCTTGCTCACGGCGCACAGATCAACCAGCAAAGTACCCAAGGGCAAACGGCGCTTCACTTGGCAGCAGGATGTGGTCATGACCAAGTGATTGATGTGCTGCAGCAGTCTGGGGCTGATTTACAAGTCCTCGATTTCGAGGGCTTAACTGCTGCTGATCGTGCTGATAAATCCGGTCACGCGGATGTTGCAGCCAAACTGTATCGCTGCATGGGAGATGGTACTCCCATCGACGCGAGTGTCGTCGACGAAGTATACGGAACGCTGATGGAGATAGATGG